CCAGTGCGGGCCGAGCGACAGCGCCACCCGAGACACCCGCGGGACGGCTGCGCGGCCTGCGGGGCCCCGGGCTGCGGCCGCGACCAGCGGCTCTACCGCAACCTGCAGGAGTACGCCAAGCGCTACTCGTGGGCCGGCATGGGCCGCATCCACAAGGGCATCCGCGAGCAGGGCCGCTACCGCGGCGGCCGGCCGTCCATCCAGAAGCCCGAGGTCTTCTTCCTGCCCGACCTCCCCACCGCGCCCTACTTCGCGCGCGACGCGCAGAAGCACGACGTGGAGCTGCTGGAGCGCAACTTCCAGACCATCCTGTGCGAGTTCGAGGCCCTGTACAAGGCCTTCTCCAACTGCAGCCTGCCGCAGGGCTGGAAGGTGCACAGCGCGGCGGGCGGCGAGTGGCTCACCTTCCACCTGCTCAGCCAGGGCGTGTGCGTCCCCAGGAACTGCAGGCGGTGCCCTCGGACGTCCCGCTTGCTGGGCAGCCTGCGCACCTGCATTGGGAACAATGTGTTTGGGAACGCCTGCATCTCCGTGCTGAGCCCCGGGACCGTGATCGCCGAGCATTACGGGCCCACCAACATCCGGGTCCGGTGCCACCTAGGTATGTATGTTGCTCCTGGGGTGGGCAGGGGGTCCCCCACCCCGGGCTGGATGTGGAGCCTTGCCGAGGGCCTAACGTGCTTTGGGCAACATTTGGTGAGCTCCTCAGGAGGCTGAGACTCGAGGATCGAGGTTCAAAGCCACCCCGGGCATTAGAGCGTGTGAGACCCTTACCTCTGATTAACCACTCCCCCCCCCAAGAAAAAAGAAAGAACAGGAGCTGTGGTTCAAGTGGTAGAGGGCCAGCCTTGATCAATAAAGCCGAGGGAAGCTGAGTGCTCACACCTGTCATCCTAGCCCCTCAGGAGACTGAGATCTGAGGATCACGGCTCAAAGCCAGCTCGGGCGGGAAAGTCCATGAGACTCTCATCTCCTATTAACCACCAGAAAACTCGGGCTGGGAAGGTGGCTCAGTGGTAGAGCGCTTGCCTTGCATGCATGAGGCCCTGGGTTCGATTCCTCAGGACCACATAAGCAAAAAAGAAAAAAGCCGGGTGGCACTGTGGCCCCAGCCCTGGGGGCGCACAGAGCGCTAGCCTTGAGTTGACGAGCTGAGGGATAGTGCGCAGGCCCAGAGTTCAGGCCCCACGACCGGACCCAAAAAAAAAAAAAAAAAAAACCACCAGAAAACTGGAAGTGGCACTGTGGCTCAAGTGGTAGAATGCAAGCTTTAAGCAAAACTGCTCATGCCCTGAGTTCAAGCTCCATGACCAACAAAAAAAAAGAAAGAAAACAAGAAGCAGCTAAGGGATAGCACCCGGGCCCTGAGTTCAAGCCTTCGTAGAACAAGCACGAAAGAAAAGAGGGCGGGGAGGAGGAGAGAAGGAGGGAGAGAGGGAGGCAGAGAAAGAGTACGGTTGTGACTGACATTGGGCCTCACAGGAAACTGCTCTGTGTGAACCTAAACCTCTCCCCACACACCCTTTCAGCGCCAGAAATCCAGCCCAGGGCCGCACTCACGCTCAGCCTCTGCTTGTCCTCAGAGCCACAGCCCCAAACCTGATTTTCAATGAAGTTCAGGAGCCAGGTGCAGTAGCTCACACCTGTAATCCCAGTTACAAGGTAGACAGAGATTGGGAGGATCATGGTTTGAGGCCAGCTGGGGCAAAAAAAAAAAAAAAAGTAAGACTCCATCTCAGCAAATAAACCAGGTATGGGGCACATGCCTGTGACCCAGCTAGGCAAAGACTCAGGAAGGTTGCAGTCCATGGCTGGCTCCTGGCAGAAACACAAGACCCTGCCTGAAAAACGTCTAAAACAAAAATGTTAGCATGACTGCCTACCAAGTACCAGGTCCTAGATTGCCACAAATCCCCACAAAACCCTCCCAGGAGTGGAAGGTGAGAATCTTCTCCATCGTCTGGTACAGTAGCCACCAGCTGCGTGAGGCGGTGAGCGCTTGCTGTCTTGTAAGGCACCCAAGGAACTCGAGTTCCAGACGCTACCTCTGGCTGCCGGCTGCCGCCTTGGCCCAGGCGGCTAGGGACGGGAGCATCAGGGTTCAAGGCCTGCCTAATTCCAACTCCACCTAGGGAAGCTGGGCGTTGTGGTATGCATCTATAATCCCAGCTACTGTGGAAACCCAAAGTGGGTAGATTGTGCCTGGGCTGGAAGTGAGATCTTATCTCATTAAAAAAAAAAAAAAGCAAGAAAAAAAGACAGGGCTGGAGGCATGGCTCAAGGTGTAGAGCTCCAGGCTAGTAAGCATGAGGCCCTGAAGTCAGACTCCAGGACTGTCAAAACTAAAAGGGGAAACGCCTTTGCACTGTGAGACAGAGAGACCAGATCTCGCCCAGCTCATCGTAAGGGCACAGGGCTGGGACGGAAGAGCTGGGACACCCCCCCCCTCCAGCTTGGGGACAGCCCCCAGGGCACCTTCACCCACGTGACGAGACAGCGTCACCCCTGCGCGTTTCCGGGGGGACGGCAGGGGGTAGTTTCCTTTGCAGGTGCTTTGGTTTAGGGACCCCGGCCTCACGCATGCAGAGCTACTCAGGTCTTCAGAAGCTTTCGATGGCAGGCTGGGTTGGGGTCCCTCGTGTACAGCGATTCTTGCTGCCAGACTTCACCCACGCCGCGGGCGCGGTCTTGGGTGGAGTGCACCGTGCACGTGTGCGCATGCGTGTTGGGTAAACCCGTGGGGTCCGCATCGAGGCCCAGTGCTTCCCTTCTTGGCCCAACTAGTTGTCGTGAAAACCGTGGGCCCTCCAAGCTCCCGGCGCTGCTAGGAACCTTCTGGAAGAGGCCCAGCTGGGGTTGCGGCTTGTGCTGCTAGCCTGCAGCTGGGTTTTCTCAGCATTTGCGAGTGTGCATTTACTGGGGATTGAACTCGCGGCCTGAGTGCTGGCTAGACCGGTGTTCCACCGCTTGAGTTCTCCCCCAGTCCCTTTTGCACTGGCTGTTTTCCAGGCCGGGTCTTGCGCTGTGTCTGGGCTGTGGTCCCCCTTCTGGCACCGGGGACGACAGTGCAGCCACTCGGTGAGATGGAGGCCTGAGGCCCTTCCTGTCCGGGCTGGCCTCGAACCCACAGCTTCCACATCTCCACCTCTACAGGTGTGAGCCCCTCCCCGCCCCCGCTGGCATTCCATGGGCAAGCCCCCCAGGAAGAGGGGGCCTGCGCGCCGAGCGCTCGGGTCACAGTGCACCTGGCTGCAGTACCAGTGCGGGCCGAGCGACAGCGCCACCCGAGACACCCCCCCCCCTGCATCTGCCTGGCGCACCCAGCCCCTCAGCCACCCGGCCACACCCCTCCCTGGAGCCCCAGGACCATCCGCTGCCCCGCAGGGCACAGTGCCAGGCTCCCAGAAAACCGCCTCAGCCCCCAAGCTCGCTGACGGAAGCCCGCGAGCGTGCGTGGCCGGTCCAGCCAGGTACACGCAATGTGGCGCTGTGACCATCCAGAGGCTCGTGGGGGGTAGATGGGGGCAGAGCCCTTCCTCCTGCTTCCTAAAGGGGCCATGGACAACTGGAACCGCCAAGGCCACGTGTAGGGCTGGTCTCTATCCCAGGAGCCCCCAGGGGCCGTGTTTGGGGAGCAGGGATCCTGTGTGCCCCCTATGCAGTTGGTGGTCATAGGCAGGCGTGGTAGGCTGTGGGCAGGCATGGGGGGGGCCATGGTGAGGTCCGAGCTGTGGGCCGGGCAGGGGGAGGGCAGGAAGGAGGGCCTCGCAGCCAGCCCCACCATTTCTCCACCGAGGTGCGGGGTGGGGCACCATTTGGTGGCGTAGAGGAAGGAGACTGTGTCCAGCCCCACGGGTGGACCCAGATCCCCACCCCACTCCCCCCAGGCAGAGTCCGCCCAGGCTCACACAGGTGCAGCTGCCTGGCCAGCACCACAGCCCAGTGCGCAACTGCTCCAGGCTCGGGTGACTGCAGGGAAGCCGGGGCCAAGACCCGCAGGGAGAGCTGAGCGCAGGGTTCTGTGAGGGCCGCAGTGCGGGCCACCCCGCGTTCCCAGCAGACCCCGAGCCCAGTCTGCTCGTTTGCTCTGTCTGCAAAGTGCGTGTTGTTGGCCTGCCAGTCGGGCAGCCCTGGGCTTTGAACTCAGGGCCTTGTGCATGCTAAGCAGGTGCTCTACCACTTGCCCCTTTTCATTCAGTTAGGGTCTCATGCTTTTGCCCAGGCTGATCTCAGATCTCAATCTTCCTGCCCCTAGCTCAGAGTAGCTGGGATTACAGGTGTGCACCACCATGCTGGCTCCTTGCAAAGTGTTGATGCAGCCTAAAAGCCTCATAGCATGCTTGACAGGTAGATAGGCGAATGTCCCCCCTCCCTCACAGCTGGGTGGGGCCCAGAGAGGACGGATGACTCCCCCCAAAGGCACACAGCACATCGGGGCAGGGCCATCAGCCTGTGTCCTCTGTCCCTCCCACTCGCCTGTGCAGCTGTCCCTGGAGCCATTCGTGGTTCACAGAGCATTCCCACACCGGGGCTGCTGTTCGGGGCTTCAGGCCGGGGGAGGGGAGGACAGTGTCTAGTGCAGGGGTAGTACACAAGCTGGAGGAGGAGCTGCAGACAGACAGACAGATGAGGCCAGCACCTGCCCCCCGCCACGGGCCTTGCGTGGAGGTGGGCTGGGTGTCGGCATGGGCTGTAGGACCCCGAGGGGGCACACACTCGGCAGGGCCGGGCCCTGTGGGCTAAGGCGCTTGCATTTCAAATGTGTGGCTTGTTACACAAGCGCCAGACTGTCCTGTGCGTTCCCAGAATGAAGCCAGGGAGGCCGGGACCCAGCAAACCTCCGAGGCTGGAGGCTGGAGGCGCTCCATCCTCGCTGGAGCTCCACACCAGCCCGTGTCTTTGGTGATGGCTGACCTAGGCTGGAGCTGGCTGTGGAGAGCACCACCTAGGTCTGACCCTGGCCTCCCCCAAGTCCAAGGCCCTGCAGAACGGGAGGCCCAGGGCCGTGTGCCGGGCTGTGACTGGAGCAGCAGGAGCCCAGGGGCCTCCACAGCCTCCCCCAAGGCCCACGCTGGGCCTCCTCGCAGGCCGCTAGGACCCAGCCACCACGGGCCGGGCCCTCAGAACAGCTCCAAGATGAGACGTCCTTGGTCAGGACCACTGCAGCCGGTGTGCGCCTGGGTTCTGGCCTCCCTCCGTGGCCTCCACCCGCAAAGGCCCGGCCTCCTAGCTCCATCACCTTCCAACCCGGGAACGCTGGGGGATGCAGACACTGAGACCCGCACCAGGGCTCCGGCCCGGAGCAGAGGCTCAAAGCAGCTTCTTCCCTGTGCCCTCTAACCTCCAGCCTCTAACCTCCAGCCTCCTTCACTTTCCCTCTTTTCTGCACAAGGTCTGAAGACGCCGAGTGGCTGCGAGCTGGTGGTGGGGGGCGAGCCGCAGTGCTGGGCAGAAGGCCGCTGCCTTCTCTTCGACGACTCTTTCCTGCACACTGCCTTCCACCAAGGTGGGCACCCCCCCCCAAGCAGTAAGCACCAAGGGTGTCCCTTCCTGTCAACCCCCTACACACACCTGTGTGCACGCATGCACACACGTACACGCTCACGTGTGCACCACGTTCCCACGACCAAGGAGCCAGCCTCAACTTGGTAGCTGCCATTAGCAGTCATTTGGGGTCCTGGGCTGGGCTAACTTAAAGACACTTTAAAGTCCAGCTGCAGCGAGGGAGCCGGTGCCCAGCCCTGCGCCCCTCCACCCTCGCCGTGTGTGCCCTTGGATCCTGGCCTGGAGCCCTGCACACCCCAGCCCCGACCCTGCGCCTCTCTGCCTCTCCACAGGTTCAGCAGAGGATGGGCCACGTGTGGTCTTCATGGTGGACTTGTGGCACCCGAATGTGGCAGCTGCCGAGCGGCAGGCCCTGGATTTCATCTTCGCCCCGGGACGATGAGGACACTGCCGTTGCCGGAGCCAGTGAGATGGGCTGGCTAAGCCCAGCCCGAAGCACAGGACGGCCGCGCCGCGCCACGCCGGGTGCCATGCGCGTGTGACACCGCCCCCGTCTCCTCGGAGCTGTCCCAGGACATCCTGCCGCTGGGGACCACATCCCGTGGCCGCCGCCGCCACGCAGCGTCTCCGCTTCTATCTCCCTGGATTTGTTTTTCCCTCCAGTCATCTGCTCTGAGGTCCCTCCCTGGCCCACCAGTGCACCCCCTCGGCCGCGAGTGGCTCGGACCCCGTCCACTTGCCCCAGCCACTCGGTTTCCTCCGTGTCCTGAGATAAGAGTCACCAAATGGTTGTCTGTCTGAATGTGATCCTGTGCAAGTTCCTTGTGGTCATCTGTAAAGCAAAACCAAACAAAACCAAGACAACAGCCGGGGAACTGGGCGTGGTGCTGGCGTGCGGGGCCCTCTCCATCTGCAGCCCTTGTACCCCGGCTTCTCGTGTGGGGTAGGGAGCCGTCACCCTTGCACCCACCCCTCGGAGCCTGCCAGGGACCCCCTCGTGGTAGGAGCATTCCTCATCTACACAGCTGAGACCCAAGCGGGGCCCCCGCAGAGCCGCCCGGCCCTGTCCCCACTGCGCTGGTTCTGGGTGTGCGGTGGCCAGAGCCAGGCTGGCCACGGGGGCGCAGTGGGCCGGGCCCGCATCCAGTCATGCTCCAGGAAGCCTTTTCTGGCCCGCAGAGCCCTGGATCTGCCCCTCGGTCTGTTCTGCTGTAGAGTTCTGCTGATGATGACAAATGCGAGATTCAGACAATGATCGGCTCACATCTGTCACCATACAAAAGTATGTGCCGAGTGGCAAGCCGTGTGTGCGCACGCACATGCACGTGCAGACGCGGGGAGACCGTCCCCAAGGACCTGGGCTCCCTGTGCGGTCCTCTCGGCCTCAGTGAAGATCACATCGTTCTCTTCCCAAAGGGAAGGGCATGGACGCCCACTGGGGATGCTCATCTCGACAGCCTCCCGTGAGCGGCCGGCAGCAGGGCCCCGCTGCACTCTCACGCTGTTTTGGGACTGGGTCCTGACAGCAGGGTCGTGTGTATAGCGCTCAGGAACTGGACAGGTGCAGCCAGCCCCGCCACGGGCCCGGCGTTCACGCAAGGACACACGCTGCCTGCTGTGGGCTGGGCCTCTGGCAAGCAGGCAGAAGACGCAGCACGTCCACCACCCGCCGTCTGTGCCGTGTCAGAGCCCCGACGTGCATGGTCCACGCACACTGCCCGACGTTTACAGCCTGCAGCCCAGGGGGCCCGCCCACCCTCGGGGGATGTGCCAGGGCACAGGAATAAATAAAGATCTGAAACCAGACCGGCTGCTCCAGTGGTGTTGGGGAAAAGGGGTGTGGGCTGGAGCCGTGGGGGTGGGTGTCGCTCTCCTCGGGGGATTGTGTTGGGGCCACATGCTGAGGCTGACGTGGCTGCACAGCTCCATGTGCGCGCACGCACGCACACACACACACACACACACACACACACACACACACACACGGCCCTGCATCCCACCCCATACAGCAAGGGAGAAAGCGGGGACAGGGCAGCAGGGAGCCTCTGGAATACCATCGATGTAAAAACCCAGGCTTCTGACAACAGGAAAGCCAATGGTCTGTCCGCTGGGACACGCCCCTCAGCCTCTTCTTACCTGTTAGCTCTTGGCAGAGACGGTACCTGGCACCCACTCAAGAGCCCAGTGCTTTGATCTGCTGGGCACATGGCAAGAGGGTGTGTTCCCCCTGGGCCTCAGCCGAGGGAGCCGCAGCCGGGCTGCCGGGTGCTTCACTCCTGCGCACTGTGGCTGGAGGTGTTCCCGTGTGAGGGGAGCCGGCCTCCTGCCTGCTGCCTCCAGCCTGTCTCCTACCCCAGGCAGCCGGCCCACCTCCCGCCACATCTGGCAGAGGCCCCGGCCCCTCCTGCGGCACAGCTCCCGCCCCCACCGTCCTGCCCACGGCCCAGCCGGCTTATCTGTTCAGCACTTATTTATCTCTGCGCTGAGGGGGTGGAGCCCAGGGCCCCCCCACACCAGCTGCTGTACCCTCAGTGCCTCTGGACCCCAGCTTTGAGCCGGCTAGGCTAGAACAGCCGCTGCGAAGGCCTTGAGTTTGGGGGCCAGACCCATCAGCTGCTCCTGGGCCCCTGGGCTGCCTGACTGCAGAAACTGGACACATCACCCACCAAGTTCTTCCGCAGGGACCACTGAGGAGCAAGTGGGGCTCGGTGCTGTAGGATGGGAATCTAGAAGGGTCTGAGGCTCAGAGGGGGCAAGCATGTTCCCTACCGCTTCCCTCTCCAGTTCCATAAAGCAATTACGGGGATTCGAACATGGGGCCTTCCCAGTTCCACCTGCACTCCACCCCTTGGGCTTGGCCTCCAGCCAGGCTTTTTGCTAATTAGAGATTAACACTGATTTTCCTGCCCAGATTGGCTTTAAACTGTGACCCTCTGGATTTCAGCTTCCTGAGCTGGGAGGACTGTAGGTGTGAGCTACCAGCCCGGACAACACAAGATGCCTGCCCTTGGCATCATCCAGACAACACAGAACGTCAGAGCCACATGGTAACAGGTGCACGGGTCACCCCAACGGCCTGAGCACGCAGGTCCATGCCTACGTTCTAAGCAGACACTCCAATGGCAGACTTGAGTGCCAGCCTGGGCCCCTGCAGTGCTGGAGGGCAGGTCTGGACGCAGCCCCCTCTGGGGCACAGAGAGCCGGGGGGTGGAGGGGGGGCGGGTGCACAGGGGCCCCAGGAGGCCTGGACCTTGCTTATGCCCTATGTTGTGAACAAGGCCACTGGCTGGGTGCTGTGGCTCACACCTGTAACCCTAGCTCCTCAGGCAGCTGAGACCTGTTGGATCACATACACACACACACACCTGCACACATCGCCAGGAATACTAGCAACGATTCAGCCCTCTCCAGCGCTGCTTCCTTTATTCTTAGCCCTCCGTAACTTGTTTCAGGAAAGCGGCACCAGGCCGTAATGGAGCACAGCTAGGGTGCCTGGGGCGCCAGATGCCGCCGGGGCTGGGAAGTTCCCCCATGGGCCCCGAAACACGAGGCATGTAGCACGAGCCGCCGTCCATGGAGGGACACACACACAGGAGCACAGCTGGACTTGGCCTGGGGTCCCCCGTGGGACGGGGTGCTTGCCCAGCCCGCCCTCGCCTAAACCAGCACATCCTCAGGCCCTGCCTCAGACCCTGCGCCCTCCCTCCGGGGCGCTGGGGAGCCCGAAGCTGGGGAGGCAGCTGGCGCTGACGGAGCTCACACGGCCTGTGGGACAAGAGGCACAGAGAGGTCCGAGCAGGCCCTGCAGGACCACGTGCGACCCCCACACCCCACCCGCAGGGCCAAGTTCCAGCACAGCAAAGGCTGCAAGGCACCCAGGCAGGGAGCTCTGCGGTGCACAGCGGTGGCGCCCTCTGGGCCGGGCCTTCCGGCGGGCCGGGCCGGGGCAGGGTGGGCGTCAGGCCCCGTCAGAGCAGGTTCACTCCGTGCTTCAGCAGCTTCTGCCTGGCCTGGCCAGCGAGGCCAAAGGCGCCGTCCTGGGGGCTGGGGAAGCCGGAGCCGCGGGCCGGCGGGGCCAGCTGCTGGAAGTATGTCTCCTGGGCAGGGCTGCAGCAGGCGTACACGGCCGTGGCGGCACTCCTGTGGGCAGGGCGACAGGCCGGGAGGGACACCTGCTGTGTGCCGTGCCCAGTAGGGCACCGGCGCTGCCGCCGCGTTGACATTTCAGGACGTGGTGCCCACAGACAACTGGGCCTAGGTGGCGTGTGGTGGGCCTGACCTGAAGCTGTCGGGGCTGGGTGGGGAGGGGCGTGGCCAGTCCCCCTCCCCCTGGAGCAGCCCCATCCCCCACCACTCCAAGAGGTGTCACATCAGTCTCTGGAAGCTGAGTCTGCTCCCCACACAGGGTGATGGGGAGGGGGACCGGGGATGGACAATGACAGCGACTCCTGTGGACACGGAGGCTGAGGGAGGGAGGAGGGAGGGACGGCAGGGCCCAGCGAAGCCCGGCCTCCTCGGGGAGCAGGGCGGGCTCCCTTCCTAGCGACAGGAGGGCCGGTCCTGCTCCAGCTGCCGGGGACCCCTGGAGCCATGGCAAGGTCTGGAGGGCCTGGCTGCACCCTAGCACCGTGGGGGCAGACACAGGCACCGCTTCCGGAGGACTAACCCCAGGAAGAATCCCGGAGCCGTCCAGCAACCTGGCACTGGTGTGCAGTGGACCTGAGTGTCATGCGGCGGCCACAGCCCGGCTTTGGCGGAGCTGGTGGCAAGGGGACAGCCGGCCTGCCAGGGCGCAGCTCCGCCCTGGGACCTGGGGTGACAGAGCGGGTGGGGGGGGGGGGGGGGGAGCTCACCTGGCGGTCATCTCGTACAGTGTGGGCAGCCGGGCGAAGTCAGAGTGCATCAGGCTGACGGCCTGCAGGAAGCGGCGGTCCACGGGGGTGGGCCCCAGCAGCAGGTTCGCTTCCAGGAGGAAACAGAGCTGGTGAGCAGCTGAGCCCAGCCGCCCTTCCCTCCCTTCCTAAGCCCGGCCCAGTGCCTGGAGAGCAGGCAGAGCCGCCCTGGCCAGGAGCCCACAGGGCTCTGTGGGCATCTCAGAGTTCTGGGGCAGACCCCACAGGCGTCTGAGCACGCATGAATGCCTCTCGGACCACTGAGGAGACAGCCCACCAGCACCAGCCGGTCCATCTGACCCCGCCTGGGGCTCCCTCCACTGGCTTCTAGAAGGCACTCCTGGCGCTCTGCACTGGCCAGTGCCCGCTCCTCACCCATCATCACGCCCTGCACGCGGTCGTAGTGCACAAAGCTGTGCGTGCGGCTGGTGGGGCCCGCGTCCTCTCTGGGCAGTGTCTCCTGCAGGTGGACTTCCAGCCCGTTCAGGGACGCCAGGCTGCCATGGTACTGCAGAGGGCACAGCAGCGGGTCAGCAGGCTGCCTGCTGCTCGCCAGGGACCTACTTCACACCTGAGCACCCAGCAACACCACAGGGCGCCGGGGCACAGTTCTGTGCAGTTCCGCCCGTGTGGACAGAACACTAGCTTACAACCTACAGTTCCACCCTGTGGACTGAGCGCCAGCTCACACCCCGGGTCCCGACACGTTAATGTCAACATCGCGTGGCAGAAAAGCAAGAGGAGGAAGCGGGGACGGCACGTGAGGCAGAGAAGCTGCCCACTGTGGGCGCGGACAGGAAAACCAGCTCCCACCAGGCACGTGCCTCGAGGCCACACACCTGTGCTTCCAGAACCTTCCCAGAGACAAGTGCAGGTAAGCTGAGAACACAGTGCTGTCCAGCTTGTGTCGTTCTTATGTGACAGAGGTGGTGCAAGCCATCAGTAGTGACGGACACTCGCTTTTTACCCTCCTGGCAGGCTGGGCTGCTTTCCTGGCCCGTGAGCACCCCCAGCACCCCTCTCTAGAGCTCTGCTGGGAGCCTCGCTGGGGACGTGGCGCCATCTCTGCAGGTGGGCTGCACCGGGGCTCCAGGTGAGGCCAGCCTGCCAGAGCTTCCTACACAGATGCCCAGGCAGCCGCCTGCGTTGGCCAACGTGCTACCCAAGGCCGGCTTTGCAGTCAGGCAGTGGAAAGGGTCATCCCTGCAGGTCATGTCAGGTGACGGCCCGCTGTGGGGGTGTTGGCCGGAGGAAGCCATCCAGGCCCCGAGGCACACTCCCCTGTAAATACCTCAGACACTGCATCGGTCCCTGGCTTACCGTTTTTTGTTAGGGTCAGGGTCAGACTGGCCTGCGGCTCAACAAGCGTCTGCCTCAGCTCCCCATGCGGGGACTGCCATGGAAAGGCACCCCCACCCCACGTCCTGCCAAGACTCTGTCTCAATGCCCGAGCCCTGCATGGGCGCAGGCCGGCCCTGGCTGCACCTCACGCTGCCCCCACCCGCACCCCTCGGCTCAGGAGCCTCCCGGGTGACCAGCTGTGTGTACGTGTGAGCCCGCGTGTGCGTGCACAAGCACCACTGGAAGCCCGTGAATGGCACCCGTCCCGTCCAGCCTGCTGCCAGAGGGAGAAGGGGTGCAGAGCAGGCCAGAACGAGCCCGTTCTCCCAGGCACCAAGCCTGGCCTCCAGAATCTGGAGTCTTAACTCGTACTCCAGACAAAACTGCTTAGCCGTGAAGTGGGACGGCCCTCGAGCACACAGTACTGAAACCAAGTGCATTCGCAGACCACCTCTGCGTGGCTGGGGAGAATGATCTGTGAGCTTCTGCTGGGTGCTTGTGGGGTGCTCCTGGGCCCAGCCACAGCCCCCCCAGCACATCCCTAGAAAGGACAGCAACGCAAGGTCCCTGATCCTGACGTCTGGTCCACCCTCCCCTGGCAAGGGCCCTGGCGGTGCACAGCCCACCAGATGGAGAAAGCAGGCCAAAGGCCCGCCTTTCCACATCACCTCCTGAGGGGAGGGGGAGCACTGCCCGGTCAGCACCTGTCCCGGGGCGGCAGCAGCAGCAGCAGCAGCAGCAGCGAGCAGGCGACCTGCTGGCCAGGGTCAGAGGTCAGGAGATCCCCTGGGGCTCCGGCAGATCTTACAACAGCCACTGCGCTGTCCCCAGCCAAGCCCCCCACTCCCTCAGCCCATCCTGGCTGCTGCTCGGCATGCCCTGGGGTGCTGGACCCCTCCCAGGGCGTGCGCTCCAGGACTTCCAGGAAGCTGATCAAGGATGTGCTAGGCGCATGAAGGTGGAAAGGCAGGAGCATAGCTCTCCCATGGACACAAGGTTTGCGCTGCTGAACCCAGCAGTCCCTTCTGCTCTTCAGACAGGGCAGCCGGCACCCATGTGCACTCCACCTCGAGCCCAGGCCACGCCTGCTTCACACGAGCCTCCAGCCCCACACACCCACACGCCACACCAGTCTCTGGCGCCCATGCCCACTGCACACATGAGCTCACAGATGCTGTCACGGCAGCATGTGGGCCACACGCTGAGTCCCGGGGGCCGGGCTGGCACAGGGGGACATGCACGTTGGGTCTGCGCCTGCCAGCTTCCACTACAGCCAGGCCGAGCTTTTGTACTGGGGACAGGTGCAGAGCTCCTCCCACAGCTGCCCCAGGGTAGGGCCCAGGTGACAGGCGCACAGCTGGATTTAAGCCATCTAGACACCGGCCTTCAGCGCACACTATGCCTAACAGGACCAGGGAAACTGAAGCCTGAGGCTGTACCCAGAACCCCAGAACCCCGCTGTCATCAGTCGGTTGGACAACCATCCCTGCTGACAGTGAGTTCACCGAGCGCCAGAACAACACAGCTGGGTGCTTGGGGCCTGTGGAAGGGGACAGAGACCAGCGCCACTCCCTGCTTCCGACTAGCAGCTCCAGGCACAGACATGCCCTGCAGCCTCCCCTCCCCTCCCCACGCTCCAAGGTGACCTGCTGGTTTATGGAGGCCACAGCCCTGCACGCCAATAAAGATCGGCTTCAAATAACATGGATTAAGGAGAAAAACAAGCCAGCCCCAGGACAGCCTATGCCCTGCAGCAACTGCTACCCGCTGTTCCTGCACGGCTCCTGCCCGTGAGGCAAGGCTGTTACCATAGCAACTCCATCCTCAGCGCGGCCGGCCTGGAGAAGGTCAGTGTGCAGGGAAGGGCTGGAGAGGCTTCAGAGCCGCTGGAGCCCATGGGGATGTGAGATGGCTCCAGGCCACAGCCCTGCGATGCTGGCCACAGAGGGGAGAGGGACTGCCACTGGGCTGTGGCACAGAGCGCATTCCAGCAGAGACGGCAGCCAGCACGGCCCTGGCAGGGAACCGAGGCATCTGGAATGGGAGCCCAGAACCACCCTACTGACCAGGAAGCACAGGCCCAGAGAGGCGTACTGCAGGCCAGGCCACTCAGCTGGAGAATGAAGCAAGACTCTGTCCCAACTCCTCCCTCCTCCCAGGCCCACGCCTCATACCCTGCAGGAGGCGGGAGAGCACAGACCAACAGCAGCCCTGCAGAAACACGAGGCTCTAGCCAGGCTGTGCCACAGGTCCAAGGATGAGCCAGCCTGTCTGCATATCTAGGAGGCAAGAGAGGCTGCAGAGAGGCTGGGAGAGGGGTTGGGGACACTCACCACCTCCTCGATGGCCACGTCGTCCCCGAGCAGCGGCTCCTCGGCCAGCAGGGACAGCGCCAGCCCCTTGACGCTGTGAGTGTACAGAGCCATGGGCACAAGCCTCACGTGGGACCCTGCTGGGGTCAGGCTAGCGTCGCCTGTGTCTGCAGAGGCTGAGCTGCATGGGGGACCAGGGGCTGCATGGCCCCCGGAAAGTTCATTTTCTGTCTGCCCTCCCCTGGGGGGAGGGTCTTGGCCGTGGGCTCCAGGAGGGCCTGGAGACTGTCCCCGGGCTCCATGCTGGGAGAGTGGACACAGCTGGCAGGTGCCGGCAGTGTCCTCGGGGGGCTCGAGTGCGGGGCCGCCGCAGGTGTGCACGCGGTTCTCGCTGCACGGACCTCTGCCTGGGCTGCCCTCAGGTGGGAGGGCACCGCGGCCCGGAGCTTCCACACCACACACTGCAGACAAGCCCCGCTCCCCCTGTAGGGAGCCACGGCCAGGGTCCCGTTTCCAGGCTGTGCTGTGCAGCCCAGGGCCAGGCAAGCGGCCCTCCTCCTCCCTGCCATCTGGCCACACTCCATCGGGGGATGCGGGCCCGGAGGTGGCCGTGGACGCCACAAGCCTGATGGCGACTTCTCCGGAGGCAGAGGTGCTTCGGGGAGGATGGGGCTCTAAGCCCTCCTGGAGTCTGGCTGGCGAAGGAGAGCTGGCAAACAGACGAGGAAGGGAGGTCAGCCGCTGCAGGACGCTCCGCCGGGGAGAAAGGGAAGGCACAGTGCCGGGGACGGGCGTGCGAAGGCCCCGGGGCTTTGCCTCCCACGGCAGAGCCCTCCCAGCACACGCGCACTACTGCCATGTAGCAGAGGGAACCCACATGCTGGGAGAACCGAGGCACGTGGCTCCAGGGCCTGCTGGCAGCCTCTCGCCCGAGGAAGCCGAGGCCTAGGGAGAAGCCCCCTCTCAGCCCTGACGACCCCACAAGCTGCGGGTGCTGCCTTGCGGACAGGAAGTGAGGGGGGACTGAGGTCCAGGACTGAGGGCGCGCTGGCACAGCCCGGGCCTGCTCACCCACCCACCTACCTGGCTGTCCGCTGCACTGCAAACTCACGGAGGCTGGCAGCCTCCTTTTCGGTCAGGAAAACCGGGGTGATCTGGACGCCGGGGGGCAATGCTACTCCTGGAATTGCAAAGCAACATGGGCAGGGCTTGCCGCTGGGCCCCAGAGAACAGAGGGCCATGCTCAGCCCAGAACTGGGAGGACGGGGAGACTCAGCGCCAGGACCTTGAATGGCACTCAGTAAAAAAGCCAGACCTGAGCTAGGAAAAAAGGGACCAGCCCCCTCGGCCCCACCTGTGGACACGGCCACACCCTGCAGCATGTGGCTGCTCCCCGTTCTGTCCAGCCCAGCCCGGCCCCTGGAACTGCTCTGCACAGCGCCACGTTGGGGGATGTGAACGCAGGGGGTGGGAGGGTGTGGCAGCATCAAGTCTGGCAATTAGGAATCCAACGGGCGATGCCCTCCCAGGCAGGGGAGACACACCCGAGCCCTGCCAGCCGTCAGCTGGCTTGGCCCTCGCCAGGCGGCATGACAGAGCCGCTCCCCAAGGCCACCCGCATCACACACTCACCCGCCTCCTGCGGGGCGGCTCCAGCTGCAGGCGGGTTCTGCAAACAAGCACACACACACACACATGCACGGGCTGGCACTGGGCACCATGATCTGAACTTGACCCAAACACCACGGTTCTGCTCACAGGACTCAGCCACAACCAGGGAGCTTGTCCCAACCCCAGGGAGCAATGCTCCCCAAGCTGCTGGCAGAGCCTACCCACCTGGCCTGCCTTGAGCTTGGGTGCAGACCTGTGCGGCCTTCTCCCTTTGGGAAGCTCCAGTACCCATAGATACACTTGCCCCGGGATCCCCCGCTGGGGCACCACCTGACTCCCACAGGACCAGGCCCCTCATGGCTGGACCCCATTTCCCACTCATTCTGCTTCATGGCCAAGGGAAAAAAGAAACTTTACCACCATTTGTAGGCTCCCAAGGGGCCTGCCAGAACCAACCACAACACAGAAAACCACCCTCCCATTCCCAGGCCTTTTTTTCTCAACCATTTCAAGAAGCCACACTTTCCATTACTACTAGACATCTACTCCTCCAGGCCAAAGTTTTGTTTTGTTTTGTCTGTGTATTAGTCCTAGAGCTTCAATTCTAGGCCTGGGTGCTGTCCCTGAGCTTCTTTTGTGCTCAAGGCTAGCACTCTACAACTTGCGCCATAGCTCCACTTACATCTTTTTTGGTGTTTAATTAAAGACAAGCGTCTCACTGACTTTCCTGCCAGGGCTGAATGTGAACCAGTATCCTGAGACCTCAGCCTCCTGAGTAGCTAGGATGACAGGTGTAAGCCACCAGCATTCACCACTCCTTAAAAGTTTTTTTAAAATAATCCTCAACTGCAAACTCACGATGCTGTTCATGTGAATGCTTTTCTCTTTTCTGTCTGCCTTTTTGTACTTTCGAAACATGTGAGTGGTAACACTTCTGCCCAAAGCAACAACATGCAACAGACTCCCCAGAATATCCCTGGCTACTCTTTTGCCACTGAGCTATAGTGACAGCCCATCTGCAGAGGTTTTGGTGGTCCTGTGGTTTGAAGTCAAACATGTGAGCCACGTTCCCAGTCCTTTTGCACTTTTTGTTTTTTGTCTGAGATGGGGTATTGCCTTCTGCCCTAGGTGGCCTAGTTTACACTTTCTGCCACAGCTAGAAAGAAGGGTGTGTACCACCTTGCCCAGCCCTTCGAAGGGGCCGTGCATACTTGCTGCCCGGGCTGGACTTGAACCACAATCCTCCACATCTCTGTCTCCCAAGTAGGTGTATAATCTCAGTCTACCCAGCCCCTGGCCTTGGCCCCACGCATGCTTATGAGCAGGTCCGTGAAGTGTTCCCTGTGGGCAGCTGGCGCACAGTCCAGTGCTTGCCAAGCCTACCCTGCACGGCTGTTTATCTGACTTAGCAGGTTTGAAGCTACATCTTTTCCAGCAGTCAGTCTTGTCTTAGTGGAGATTTCCAGTGAGAGGAAAGGGGACCCGAAAGGCCGTCCTGCCAGACCCCACCAGCAGGGGGCGAAGAGACTTCACCTGCAGGACAAAGCTGTGTGGCATGGAACCACACAGCCTCCCAACGCTGCAGAGGCAAAGCGTGTGGGTCAAACAGGTAGGGAACCCTGTCTTCAAGGAGCTCTGTCCTGCCCAGGTGCCAGAAAAACATGACATCTCAGGCCAGCATGTGGCTCACACCTGTACTTGCAACAACTCAGGCAGAGAGAGAATTGAAGCACAAGGTCAGCCTAGGCGAAAAGTTAGCATGACCTTATCTCAAAACACAAGCTGGGAAGTGGCATTGTGGCGCCAAGTGGTAGAGTGCTAGCCTTGAACAAAAGAGCTCAGGGTCAGCGCCCAGGCCCCGAGTTCAAGCCCCAGGACTGACAAAAACAACAACAACAACAACAACAACAAAGCAAACAAAAAAAATAAACAAGCTGGGTACCATGGCATTTACTGTAATCTCGGCTACATGAGAAGCATACATTCAAGGATCACGGGTCCTAAACAGGCTCTGGACAAGAATGTGCCACCCCATCTGAGACGCAAGCTAAAGCAAAAGGCCTGGGGGAGTGGCTCGGCTACGGTTACCTGCCTAGCAAATGTGAGGTCCTGACGTCAACCCTTAGAACCACCAAAGAAACCACAGCATCCCAGTGTGGAAATGCACAGGCTCAGAGTTCAGCAGTTACCCAGTCCAAGGAAATACGCTTCCATCTTGCCTGGGAGTGCAGTAAGACCCCGCGGGCAGATGAGGGTGCCGACAAGGGTTGGGAGAACCATGCCCAGCACGTGCTCTGTGACTGGCGCGGGTACCTGGTTCCCAGGTGTGGACTGGCGAAGCAGGACCTTGGCGGTGAGGGAGGGTGGGAGCTGGGTGCTCACAGTCCTAGGGATCAGAAACAACGACAACTCCATGAACAGGGGACCTCCAAGCTTACAAGGAGGGGAGTGGCTATTCCCGCTACTCAAGAGGCCCTGGCTGCTTCCAGTTCCAGCTGGCACAGGTCAGAGGAGGCCCTTGACAGTCCCTGTGGACAGCTCCCAGGCCCAAACTCCTTAGCCAGGCTGGACCAAGAGGGGACCGCCTATGAATATCTTTCCAGGGACAACGCTGAGTGCTCACACACATGGCGGAAGCCCCAGCAAACCCGCAGCATCTTCAGGGCCTATCCTTGTGAGGCCAAAGAGCTGGAGCAGCTCACTTTCACAGGGCACTGGGAGGCCGGCGGAAGGTGCCCCACGCAGGCTTGCTCATGTGCTGCCGCCGGCACTTGTACATGGACGCTCTGAGAACTACAAGGTCCCTCTTCTACCCCAGCCCGCTCCAATATGACAACTTCTGGTACCTACTGTGCCCTAAGCCATGACTGCGGCCAAACAGCCTGCACGCACAGTAGCCAGACACTGAACCCCAGCCCGGCCCCACCATCCCGGCATCTACAAGCAAGTAGTCAGAGGCTGAGCTGCAGCCCCCAAGTCCGCCCCTCCCAGCCCCTGCGGCATGACTCACAGCCCCCGGTAGAGGACACAGCCGGCCAGGATGTGAGGTACGCGCTGGCAGTTCTGCAGGATGAGCGTGGCCTTCAGTAACAGCAGGGGCTCTACCTGTGCAGGGAGAGTGCACAGCCCCATGGGCACACTCAGAAAAGGGGTGGTGGTCCTGCCTACAGGCAGCTCACCACCCCAAACCTGGAGTGAGGAGAAGGCGTCCCACAGCACGACCATCAGGACATAGCCAAGTGCCAGATTCTTGGCACAAAGGCCTGTGAATGTGGCATCCGGCGACTCTCTGGGGACAAAGCAGATGGCCTAGAGCACCGGCTGTCAGCGCTGACAGGAGTGGGCAGCAGAGGGGGAGAGAACGCCCACACCAAGGCCCTGGGGGTGGGGGAACCACCGCCCCCTGCAGCCCAGTCCCCAGGGGCACAGCAGGTGGAACCAGCATGTACACAGGTCCCACAGCCCAGAAACGCCAGCCTGCTCCAGCCTTCCACTGGGTCTGCCTGGCCCAGCTCTCATCTGCATGAGGAGTCACAAGACTCTAAAGCTGAACACAAGCACCTGCACCCCACTGGGAGCTCTGCTGGGCCGCCGGCGCTCAGTGTAGGAGGAACAGAGCCCCAAAGCGCCTGCCTGGTGCGAAGTTCCATTTACTCCCTTCTCCTGGCCTCGGCAGGGCCCAGCCCCACCAGCCCCCCTGAAAGGCCTCCGCTATAGTCACTGTCACCAGACTCTCCCAACAGGACAGAAGTGGAGCGTCCTTGGCTGGTCTAGCAGAGTTATGCGCTGCACACCGTCACACACTGCTTACGAGTGAGACGAGGCGTGTGCGCCCATGGCACACACATGGTAGCCGCATGGGCAGCGTCACTCACTGAGGGCCAGTGAGAGCAGAACGCCTCAGACAAGCCCTTCCAGACCCTCTTAGAGACTGTCAACCTGAGAGCCAGCTAGACAGATGGCGCCCCAGGAGGGCAGAGGACAGGAGTGGCGTAGCTCAACCTGCAGAGGCGGGGCCGAGCGGCCCCTTTCCTGAATGGTGGCTTGGTGGCGCTTGAGAAGCAGCCTGCTGCCCAGCAAAGCAGCTCTGGAGGCCATGCTTGCCTCGTCCTCAATCCCCAAGCTGCGGGGATGCCACGCTCGTACGCAGCTCCGCCCCGGCACAGCACGGGCGCAGAGGCAGGGGTCACCTTGGTCTGGTCGAGGTTCCAGAGAGAGTCAAATATCTTATGCAGCTCCGTGGTGTTGCTCAGGACTCGCTCAATGAAGGCGTCCCACTGCGTGGCCAGCTCCTCCCTCGATCGCTTCTGCAACACCAATGGCCCAGGGTCGCACCTGACATCTGGGGGCACAGACTTTGGCAAAGGGGCTCCCGAAGGCATTCCTCACTTGGGAAGACAGCCCTGCAGGAAGCCTGTCCTTATCCCCACGCGGGTCATGCCTGGCTCCCACCGGTGTCCCGCCTTTGCTGGGGAAACGCCGCTGCCCCCCCGGCCATGCTGGCTTGCTAAACAGGCCCACAGGACCCTGCACCACAGCACACGTACCTTGTAAGCCAGGGCCACGGGGCCAGTGTAGAAATGAAAGAAGCCAATGAGCTGGTCCAAAAAACGCCTGCAGCTGCTGTCGGGGAGCTCCACGGCACAGCCCAGAGCCTGTGATGAGGGGACACAGGAGGACAGGTGCTTCTCTTGCTGAGAGCAGGCCCAGCACCCCAGCCTCTGCAGATGCCGGGGGCCCACCAAAACCCATCTGAGCCCGGGCCTCCTGCAGTCACACTGCTGTCCCCAGAGAACACGTTCTGTCTATCCCTCTACCCGTGCCAACCTGTTCATTCCCCAGGTCACCCTCTCCTGCAGGACTCCTCCATGATGCCTGGTCCACAGACCACGGCCAACACTGGCCTCTGTGTACCGTGTGGGCTGGATAATGCATGTGTAAGTGAGGTTTCATCAAATTGTGCACAGCCAGAGAAGGCACTGCGGGCAGCTGCTAAGTAAACCACCAGATCTAACCTCCCAGGGTAGAGCCTAGGGCCCTCACTACACATGGCAAGTACTTGCAGAGGTGGAGAGTGAGCTCTGGCAAACCCTCAGAATCTGCCCTAAGGGAACCAGCAGACATTAGAAAAGCACACAGCCCTGCCGCCCGACCAGAGCACAGGACTGTGTTCACTGACACCAGCCACACAGGAAGCATCCCCTTCCCCCAGCCGGCCTGTGGCCGAAGGCAGATCCAATCACCAACCCACCAGCTTGCAGGGGTGGGGAGCTTTTTTTCTGCCATTTGGATATTTATAACATCATCACCGACCATACAAAATTATCAGTACAGGCAGATGGCTGTGGGCAGAGAAGCAAACGGTCTGTCCTTGTCCCGTTATGTACAAATGATTTCCAAGGCCACACGCGGCGGCACACAAGCAGACGTGCCCCACCCCTGGCAGAAACCCACAGCTGAGTGCACAGAGCAAACGCAAAGGAGGCAAAGGATGGAGAGCTTTCCTGGAAACAACTAAGACCAGAGGACTTCTACTGGATTCAAGACCTATGGTAAGGCCACAAGAATGAAGGCACTGCAGAGCTCACACAGAGCCTTCCAGACCAGGGAGGAGCTCAGGCCCTAAACCCATCTGGCCAGTGACAAACAGCATCCACAGGCCGGGGATGCGGCTTAGTGGTAGAGTGCTCACCTAGTATGCACAAAACCCTGTGTTTGATTCCCTGGCACCACATAAAAAAAACAAATGAAGTTGAGCTGGGAAGGTGGCTCAGTGGTAAAGCGCTTGCCTTGCATGCCTGAGGCCCTGGGTTCGATTCCTCAGCACCACATAAGCAAAAAGAAAAAAGCCGGAAGTGGCGCTGTGGCTC